GATACATTTTGAACTTCAAGGTCTTTGCAAGTGACGTTTTCTTGAACAAAATGAAAATCAATCTCCACGTGCTTTGTGCAAGCAAGAAACATTGGGGTTCCATATACTCAGCTTCTGTAGATGAACAAGATATTGGGGTCTGCTTGTTAGAAGTTAGAACCCCAGTGAATAGGATTATGACCTAAGAAGACAATAAAACCTATGGTAGGATTTATGTCAAAGAGATCACTAGCCCAATCTGAATCAGCAAAGGCATGAAGGTTTAAAGAGTTTTTCGTATAGGAAAGACCAAGGTTGGGAGTGCTTAGAGATATCTCAAGATACATTTGACTACAGCTAGGTGAGTATTTCTTGGTTAATGCATAAACTGGCGAGCCTGATTTATTGCAAAGGTAAGATCAGGCTTGGCGAAAATTAGGTACTGAAGAGCCTCAACAATGCTCCTGTAAAAGGTAGGATCTGAGAGAGCAATGCCACCTGTTTTACCCAGTTTGGAGGATGCGGGATAGGGAGTTTTACAGGGTTTACATGCCTACATACCAGCTCTCTGAAGCAGATCCTTAATGTACTTAGTCTGAGTAAGAGAAAGAGAATCAAAGTTTCTGTGAACCTCAATACCAAGGAAGGAGTGATCGATCATCTCAAAGACTAATTGAAGATCAAGAATAAGGGTGTGAATGAAAGAGGGGTCATTATGAGTCAGGATAACAAAATCTAAGGATAAGAGTAATAGTGGTGCATCATCTACTTTTAGAAGGACACGTCATACTTGGAGAATGTATCTTCTAACGACCCAATATTCCCACTAATATCCTAAGAGATTGGGAGACCACACCATCATTACATGACGACTACATTACCTTAATTAGGGTATAAATAGGCAGACTATTGTCATGTCCAAAAAATGCACAAATATACTCACAGGAAAATTGTAACCATCAAGAGAATTGTAACCATCTACTTCCACATTGAGCAATAAAAACCCCAAGCAAGAGACTCCATTATAATAGATTAACCAAAATCTTTAGTTGATAAATTACTTCACTTCTTGTACAATTTACTTTATGCTACCAATTTAGTTTAAGCTCACTGAATTTATCCATGATAACATCCATATTTACACCATCACTACACCGAATTCCTTTCTCTCAAATTCCGGTATTTTGAGAACCATCAGAAATATAAGTGATATTTTGAGTAAGCTAGTTGTGGTTTTGTATACCCATGGGCCATAACCCAAACCAAGGGCTCAGTACCCACAGCTTTAGCGTAAGCCATGGCTTCACCCCCAAGCCACAGCTCTCTCTTTCTCACACACACACAAACACACACTTCCACACAGAGTGAATAGAAAACTCTCTCTTTGAGATGATACAGTTAGTAGAACGTATTGGACTGATTAGGTGGGTCCTATCATTGGCTTAAGAATCCACAACATCTTTATATAAGTCCCCAATGTGGTCTCTCGACCTTTGTCAGCAGAAAAGTAAAGTAAAGAAGCAAATCATACAGAGAGAGATAGAGGAAGAAGAAAAGGTTGTCTTCTATCCTTTTCACCCTCTTAATAGTGATCTACAATGGCGGCCTCTGTTCAAAACCGGCAGTTCGGTCACCTCGAACCGGGCTTAAACGGCGCTATCCGTGCCTTCAAGTCCGGTCGGTCCGACTCTCCGGTCCGTGGCTTCAAAATCCCCACAAGCCCAGAACTGAACGTTCCTAAAAAACCTGTCATATTGGAAGATTCATCCAGCGATGATGATGAAGAAAATAATTATAAAGACGCCATTAAGAAGGCCAACGCGGAGTTGGAACCACCGGCTTTGGATTCCAGAGATGAAGGCACCGCCGATAATTGGATCGAGCGCAACCCATCAATGGTTCGACTCACCGGAAAACACCCATTCAACTCTGAGCCACCCTTGACTCGTCTCATGCATCACGGTTTCATCACTCCAGTCCCACTTCATTATGTTCGTAACCACGGTCCAGTTCCAAAAGGTACATGGGAGGAGTGGACCGTAGAGGTGTGCGGGTTGGTTAAACGACCAACCCGCTTCACCTTGGATCAATTGGTCAATGAATTTCCTTACAGGGAATTTCCAGTGACCTTGGTATGTGCAGGCAATCGTAGAAAAGAACAAAACATGATCAAGAAAACAATCGGGTTCAACTGGGGAGCTGCCGGACTATCCACCTCGGTGTGGCGTGGGATACCCCTATGTCACATTTTGAAGCGGTGTGGCATTTTTAGCCGGAAAAAAGGTGCTCTCAACGTGTGTTTTGAGGGGGCCGAGGACTTGCCAGGAGGGGGCGGATCAAAATACGGGACAAGCCTTAAAAAGGAGATAGCAATGGATCCAGCAAGGGACATCATAGTGGCGTACATGCAGAACGGCGAACTTTTGTCCCCCGATCACGGATTTCCGGTCCGAATGATCATTCCAGGATTCATCGGTGGAAGAATGGTGAAATGGCTTAAACGTATCATAGTCACAACTCAAGAATCGGATAGTTATTACCATTACAGGGACAACCGGGTCCTCCCGTCCCATGTTGATGCTGAGCTAGCCAATGCTGAAGGTACATTACAAAACTACAAACCATTGGTTTCAATTTTTACCATCCCTAACTAGGAACTATGTGTATCTTTTAGAGCTCTCTATTGACTTCCGGATACATACAAAAAGACAGGCTAATATATTAGGAAAGAAAGTTAAATGTACACAATTTTGTCCTTCAATAACGATNTGGTTTCAATTTTTACCATCCCTAACTAGGAACTATGTGTATCTTTTAGAGCTCTCTATTGACTTCCGGATACATACAAAAAGACAGGCTAATATATTAGGAAAGAAAGTTAAATGTACACAATTTTGTCCTTCAATAACGATGTAGAATTTTTTTGACTTAGACCCGTTAACCCATATAAAAAAACAGTTATTTAGATGATTTCATAGAACAAACAATGAANATAGAATTTTTTTGACTTAAATCCGTTAACCCATATAAAAAAACAGTTATTTAGATGATTTCATAGAACAAACAATGAACCATCTATTCATGTATATTTTAGTCACTCAATTAAATTTTAACTTACTCACTTGTCTTTATTGCACCGATAACCTTAGTTTCCCAACGAAAAAAAAAAAGAAACTTCAGATCTTGTGAGGACAAAACATGAACTTCAATGGTTTTTGTATTATTTATTTGGATTGTAGTGCTTATTGAACTGGATGTTAAGGTTGATGATGATGCATGAACTGAAACATATTGTTTCTTTGTTGGGGGTGGGGGGCGATGTGCACAGCTTGGTGGTATAAGCCAGAATACATCATCAATGAGCTAAATATCAACTCAGTGGTTACAACGCCTTGTCATGGAGAGATCCTGCCGATTAACGCATGGACCACTCAGATGCCTTACACGTTGAGAGGCTACGCTTATTCTGGTTAGTTGGAATTTCCACCTAATTATTTTAATTAATTAATTAAAGCATCCTTAATTTAACGGTTTGATCTACTTTGATAACACAATTAATTAGCTTAATCCATCACAACTATTGAATTAGTTATAAGTCTCATCAAATGCTAAGACTATTATTAATTCAACAATTATGAATGATTAAATCGATAAATTAGGTCAATTAGAATGGGATTTGAGACTTTAAGGATTTACTACTAATTTAAGGGTAATGATTCATTAAATTGACTAATTAGATCGACAAATTTATTTTTGTCCAAGTGCTAGTAATGGTCCCTTTTTTTTTTTCTGGTCAATGCTTAATTATTACAAGTCCTATATTAATTATTTATTGAAACGCAGGACCATACAAATGTCATGCAAGTATAGGTTCTCTTTCGATTTCTGCCAAANGCAACGCAGGACCATACAAATGTCATGCAAGTATAGGTTCTCTTTCGATTTCTGCCAAATGCCAATCATACATGAAAACGGCATTGCATGTTTTGTGCTTACATAGGATGGTGAACTTTTCCAATCATTTTTAATTGGTTAATGTTACATAGATTTTAAAAATTAGAGTTAAAACTAGTTTGATTACAGTGGTTTGCCAGAAAGGAAGCGTCTTGTTGGGTTTGACTTACAAATATCCTCCTTTTTCATACCACATCCTCAAATCAAACTGGTTTCTGCGCTTGGCTTGCACACTTTCTCTTTCTTGGTATTATATCATAAGTACTAGAATAACCCGTGTTATAATTTGAATGATTTTAAGAAAAATATTGATGGTCGTTTAATGAATTTATTTTTTGAGACTGTCGGATGGACTTATTGAAAACTGTCATGTTTTATATTATAAATTGTCCTTAAAATGATCGATGTAGATCTACTTCAAACTAATATTTTTTTTTGGTTTTTCTTAACTGGTCATTCATCATTAATGAGTAAAAGATCCGCTTTTATATAATAGGTCCTACTTGAATTTATGGCAAAGATCTATCAAGAAAAAAGAAATACAAAAAAAAATATATATATATTGGAGGAAGTTTCACTCCTAAAATGACATAAAACATAAAGAAAAAAAAAATCAGAGAGTGACATTTTTAGCTAATTTGACTATTTCTCCATTGTTAAAAAAAAACTATTTCTCTATTCTTATTATAATGATNATATATATATATTGGAGGAAGTTTCACTCCTAAAATGACATAAAACATAAAGAAAAAAAATCAGAGAGTGACATTTTTAGCTAATTTGACTATTTCTCCATTGTTAAAAAAAAACTATTTCTCTATTCTTATTATAATGATTGGTATAGTAAATAGTATATAATGAACTAAATGCATATGCCATCTTTCATTCTACAGCAATAACACAGAGAATGAGCTAGTTTCTCTGCATGTAAAAAAACCAAATTAGAATATCTGTTTTAATATATATAAATACAGAGCCTATTGTAGATTGACTTAGTCTTGTCTGTCTCCTTCTTTTTCACCTTAAGAATCTTGATGATCCTCCTCAATTCACTAGCACTCCCTGGCCAAACACTAACAATTGAGAACCTTGAATCTTGTCTCTCTGTAGAGGGGGACTTTTTAATCTCATGCTTGTCGTTTGGTAGAGGGATTTGGTCTCCATGTGATTCTTTTGGCCTTAGATGAATCTTTTGCTTTCTAAGATTTATTTTTCATAAGACCACTTCAACCAAGAATGTAAGTGTTCCTGTAGATTAGCCGACCTCTTTGAATAGACCTAATTTTCTCAAAAATCTCTATTGGGAAATTTGATCTTCTCTATCTCTGTCAAGATCTAGTTTGATTGATTTATGTGTTTATNCAATCTCATGCTTGTCGTTTGGTAGAGGGATTTGGTCTCCATGTGATTCTTGTGGCCTTAGATGAATCTTTTGCTTTCTAAGATTTATTTTTCATAAGACCTCTTCAACCAAGAATGTAACTGTTCCTGTAGATTAGCCGACCTCTTTGAATATACCTAATTTTCTCAAAAATCTCTATCGAGAAATTTGATCTTCTCTATCTCTGTCAAGATCTAGTTTGATTGATTTATGTGTTTATTATAAGTAAGACGAACGATGAATACAATTTCAAAAATAGAGTGCAAAATGGATCATCGATACCGTTATTAATCGGGCAATCCTTAGATCTGAATTTTAAGTATATTCTATGGAATCTTTTTTTTTTCTTTTAATGTACTTGATTTTTGTGAGATGGATGGCAACGTGAAAGTGACTAATTGTTTTTGGATATTTTGTGTTTGGNGACGAACGATGAATACAATTTCAAAAATAGAGTGCAAAATGGATCATCGTTATTAATCGGGCTATCCTTAGATCTGAATTTTAAGTATATTCTATGGAATCTTTTTTTTTTCTTTTAATGTACTTGATTTTTGTGAGATGGATGGCAACGTGAAAGTGACTAATTGTTTTTGGATATTTTGTGTTTGCGTGGGTGGAATGCATGTAGGAGGAGGGAAGAAAGTGACACGTGTGGAGGTAACATTGGATGGAGGGGAGACATGGCATGTGTGCAGCTTGGACCACCCAGAGAAGCCCAACAAGTACGGCAAATACTGGTGCTGGTGCTTCTGGTCCCTCGACCTGGAGGTGCTGGACCTGATTGGTTCCAAAGGGATTGCAGTCCGANCGTGGGTGGAATGCATGTAGGAGGAGGGAAGAAAGTGACACGTGTGGAGGTAACATTGGATGGAGGGGAGACATGGCAAGTGTGCAGCTTGGACCACCCAGAGAAGCCCAACAAGTACGGCAAATACTGGTGCTGGTGCTTCTGGTCCCTCGACCTGGAGGTGCTGGACCTGATTGGTTCCAAAGGGATTGCAGTCCGAGCCTGGGACGAGACACTCAACACTCAACCCGAGAAGCTCATNGGTGCTTCTGGTCCCTCGACCTGGAGGTGCTGGACCTGATTGGTTCCAAAGGGATTGCAGTCCGAGCCTGGGACGAGACACTCAACACTCAACCCGAGAAGCTCATTTGGAACCTCATGGTATGTTGTTGCAAAATACCCTATCCATTTTCGCACACCTCCACGAGCACATGTCAATTCGAGCATTATTTGTTAGAAAAATAATATTATTTGAATTTAATTTATTGACATAATTTATCAAACTAATTCATTACCATTGTTAGAATAGAAATTTTTTTTAATGTTAGATAAGAGTCATTATTAATCTAACAATTATAATGAATTTGGTTAAGATATTAATTTTGATTAACATTATTCTTTCAAACAATGTCAATCATAAATGTCATTTCATCTTTGTGACATGTCATTTCAAATTATGTAAAATTGGACTAGTTCAATCTGGTTCATGTCGTGTTTCTTGTTGAAGGAGCTGTTAAGCTCGGTTTGAATTCAAATTGAATTGCCCTTATTCCGAAATAAGGCTTTTACATTTTCACTAATTTTGACGTACCTTTTTTATTGGTAGAATATTTGAAAGAGAGCTTCATCACTTTTTCTTAAAAAATCTTTCTAGCTCGAAAATAAGTTGATTCTTCCCAAGAAAAATGCAAACAAGAGACAAATCTGAAAGAATATTTTAATGTGATCTCTTGATTTTAGGGTTTATTATAGGAAAATTTGGAGATCGATCCCACTATTTGAACTTGTTTGGATTTAAATTTGTCAAGAAAATTTATTTATTATAAAGTTTGTGTTTTGTTAATTTTACCATTTTATCCATTCCCTTTAAAAGTGAAATAAAACTAAAAATTAAAAACTCATAAATTTTAAGAGTTTCACTAACATTAAAATTTTTTCTCTCTTATATCTATCTATATACATATACAGGTTAAGAGTTTAACTAACATTAAATTTTTTTTTCTCTCTTATATATATATATATATAGTAACATTAAAAACAAAAAAATAGTAACATTCAAAGACAAAAAAAGTTATCATTTGGACACAAAAAATAATATATTTAAACACAAAAAAATAGTAATATTTAAACATAAAAAAAATTAAAACATTCAATATTAATATTTTAAAAAAATAACAACAGAAACATGTTCAACAAAAATATTTACATGTTCAACAAAAAAAATAACATGTTTAATAAAAACTGTAACATACTTAACAATAATTATTTCTCTCAAATTCAAACGCAAAAAATAGTATCATTCAAATACAAAAAATAGAAATATTCAAAAAAAAAAAAATAGTAACATGAATTTGAATTTTACTATTCAAATTCATAATAATTTTTTTTTGTATTTGAATGTTACTATATATATATATATATGAGAGAGGAAAATTTTTAATATTAATCAAAATTTTAACCTATATATGGATACAGATAAATATGAGAGAGAAAAAATTAACTTTCTTTTAAGGAAGGGTATTTTTAAGATANATATATATATATATGAGAGAGGAAAATTTTTAATATTAATCAAAATTTTAACCTATATATGGATACAGATAAATATGAGAGAGAAAAAATTAACTTTCTTTTAAGGAAGGGTATTTTTAAGATAAAAAAAAAAATGGACTTAAGTCATTACATTTAATTTTTAAACATGGACTTAATTCCTTATAAGTTTCGTTATAGAATTTATCTCTAAACAAGTACATTTAAGAGAACTCACTTTCAATTTTCACTTTATTGCAAGGGACCTATTTTTGTTTGGACTACACCTAAACCCCATTTAATCAAATTTTAGTAGCCAATGCCTGCATATGTTCTCGAGTAAATATTCAATCTAACAATGATACCATATCATTGGTGAAACATGATATTACATACCAATAATAATATAATATGTAGGATAAGTGAATTTCATAATGTCAACGTATAAGTTGTATAAAAAAAATTTCGTACCCATTATTGATGTTGATTTAAAAAGATAGATTATGTTTTTTTGTGAGTGAAACGAGCAAGATAAACCTCATTCATGCCAAAAAAAAATTGTTAAGGACCAGAGTAAGCTGACCAAAAACACTCTGATGCTTAAATTAGTATAGGTTTTGAGAATTAAGCCAAATTAATTTGCAAGATAGGTTTGTGTACCTTGGATTTAAGCATTTTCTAACCTTTATAGTGTCTCATGATGCCTTTTTTGCTAGGATTTTCGTCGTTGCATTACACATATGTTCATCATGGGTGCCTATAATTTTGGCGGTTTCTTTATTAGCTGCCTAGTACCGCCTCTGATTTTGTGAGATAGGCTAGCTATCCTACTTGTTCATCAGATATGACTCGATCCCTAAAGGATAGAATCATATTCTTCCTTGAAATCTAGTCTCATTGTACCTCTCTCTAAGCATACAGCTCTGCTCCATATAAGCTTCCATACTCGATAACGCTTTCCACCGAGCAGATCATTCTCCATTGATTTATTTTTAGGTTGGACTTTCGTCCGTTATGTTCGGTTGAAGCCAGAGTCTTGTTCGATTGAGACTTTGTATGCTCGATCAAAATTAGGTGAAGATTCTCTTATTTAGCACGGGCCTCTGCCACGTGCTTTTGACAAGCTTCCAACTCTTGATTCAGAGATTCTGAACCCCTTCATTAGTTATTCAACAAGGTAATTATAAAAAATTATTAAAATAGTGAAATCTACAATACACATATTATATACAATTATTGATTATACTAGGTGCCACTACTGTAGTATATCACCATTCCATTAAACATTTCTTCATCCGTACTCCAACATAACACAAACCCACCTCACACTACTTCCAAGCCCACCCACGCCGCCTGATATGTACCCACACTGAATACCCACCACCAACCCAGGATGTAACTAACATTAAAAATAGAAGGGTATATACATGTGGCTGTGGATATATAGTTGCAGGGTGATATTATTGAAAGGAAAGTGCTATTTGCACCTAAAAATTTGATATAATTTATTGATTTAATGACGTGATTTTATTAAAATTATTAGATAAACACAAAATTCTAATGTTTGATAAAACTCATTAGTCAAAATAAATTAGGTCAAAAAATTCCATCATTTAACACATTCTTAAGTCAGAAAATTAGGGCATTTTCTGAGTTCTCAATAACATTACTTATAGTTGAAAACTTGAAATACGTGTGTAAGTGCCGTGTGTGGTACCTTGACCTAGTATCTTGAAAACTTAATGGGTCCGGTTATATGGTGGTATTAATAAAAAATTTAATAGATATAGTTACAATAACTTTATTAAATCATGCAACTTAATTGTTATATATTAGATTTTTAGGTTACAATAGTTGTTTTAGAGTGAGAAATGAATAACGATGCCCTGGGCTCCCACAGCTTTCCCCATGCACGTCCCTTTAATATCCTAACGCTGTGTGTTCTATTCTATAATAAGTGATTTTTCGAGCCCACCGATTTGTTTTGTGTTGCAATTCTTAGGGTATGATGAACAATTGCTGGTTCAAGGTGAAGACCAATGTGTGCAAACCACACAAAGGAGAGATTGGAATCGTCTTTGAGCACCCAACTTTGCCGGGAAATATCTCCGGCGGATGGATGGCTCGGGAGAGACACCTAGAAAACTCCTCCGAAGCAAACTCTACGCTAAAGAAGAGCGTCTCATCACCATTCATGAACACTTCTTCAAAGATGTACTCAATGTCCGAGGTGAAGAAGCACAACTCGCCGGACTCTGCATGGATCGTCGTCCACGGTCACGTCTACGACTGCACAAGGTTCCTCAACGACCACCCTGGTGGTGCCGACAGTATCCTCATCAACGCCGGCACAGAGTGCACCGAAGAGTTCGACGCCATTCACTCCGATAACGCAAAGAAGCTCCTTGAGGAGTACAGAATCGGAGAGTTGATAACCACCGGTTATACTTCCGATTCGACCGCCTCGTCTCCGAACAATTCCGTCCATGGCGGATCAAACATGACCCACTTAGCTCCGATCACTGAAGTTGCACCGGCGAGTAGCGTTGCTCTCGTTCCACGTGAGAAAATCCCATGCAAGCTCGTGTCAAAAACTTCAATCTCTCATGACGTGAAACTTTTCCGATTTGCATTGCCGTCGGAAGATCAACTTCTGGGATTACCGGTTGGGAAACATATATTCTTGTGCGCTACAATCGATAATAAGCTCTGTATGAGAGCCTACACGCCAACAAGTTCAGTAGATGAACTAGGTCATTTTGATCTGGTGGTAAAAATATACTTCAAGGGTGTGAACCCTAAATTTCCAGATGGTGGGCTCATGTCACAGTACTTAGACTCTCTCTCTCTAGGTTCTGTCCTGGAAGTGAAGGGTCCATTAGGGCACATTGAATACGCAGGAAAGGGCAAATTCACAGTCCATGGAAAACCTAAGTTTGCTAAGAAGCTGGCCATGGTGGCTGGTGGGACTGGTATAACACCCATTTATCAGGTGATTCAAGCTGTTTTGAAGGACCCGGAGGACGACACAGAGATGTTTTTAGTTTATGCAAATCGTACGGAAGATGATATACTGCTTAGAGATGAACTTGATGCTTGGGCTGAGAAATATCATGATAGATTGAAGGTGTGGTATGTGGTCTCAAAGTCGACAAAGGAAGGGTGGAAATATAGTGTAGGGCGTATCTCTGAGAGCATTTTGAGGAAGAACATTCCAGATGCATCGAAAGACTGTTTGGCATTGGCGTGTGGACCACCACCAATGATTCAGTTTGCTTTGAATCCGAACTTGGAGAAGATGGGGTATGATCTAAAGGATTCTTTGTTGGTGTTTTGAATGAGCAAGAAGAAGAATAATAGTAGAGAGGGAGTAGAGCTCNAAAGGATTCTTTGTTGGTGTTTTGAATGAGCAAGAAGAAGAATAATAGTAGAGAGGGAGTAGAGCTCCATAAATGTCATCCTTGTATGTATTTTTCATACCTTTTAGCAATTATTATTGCTTAGATTTTCACAATTTTTTGCTGTTTTTTTTGACCCAGACTCTAAGGAGAGAACAATACTAAGTGGATTTAAAATTCAGCAATGGTATTCAAATTTAATTTGATGATTTAATTTATTATGATATTTAAATTGATCGTAGACCCTATCAAATATTAGAACTTGATTTTAATTCAATACTTCTAATGAAATCACATCATTACATCAACAAATTATGTCAAATTTTTAAGTTTAAATGACATTACTCTTTAAAATATTGAATTGATCAATCATCATCATTAATTTAGATCTCAGAATTTTATTAGAAGTTACTACCTACCAATATTTGCGATTGATCAAATCAACAAATTAAGAGAGTATCTTAAATCCAACTAACATTTTCCCTTCGTTTGTTTAGTGGAAAAATGGTAGAAAGTAAAAGAAAGAGAAATTTTTTAAAATTTTATTTTGTTTGGNCTTGATCAATCATCATCATTAATTTAGATCTCAGAATTTTATTAGAAGTTACTACCTACCAATATTTGTGATTGATCAAATCAACAAATTAAGAGAGTATCTTAAATCCAACTAACATTTTTCCTTCGTTTGTTTAGCGGAAAAATGGTAGAAAGTAAAAGAAAGAGAAATTTTTTAAAATTTTATTTTGTTTGGTAAGCATGAAAAGGAAAATAATAGAAACAATAATTTTTTTTTCATGCTTGAATTTTTTCACAAATAACCAATTTTTTTTTCTTGTAAAAAACACAAGAAAATACAAGAAAGTTGTGATTTATAGTTAACTTCTCATTTTACCCTTATTTTTATTAAAATATTTTATTAGTTATTAATTTTAAAAAAATTTGGTATGAATTTGATTAATCATATAATTTAACCCAAAAACNCATGCTTGAATTTTCTTACAAATAACCAATTTTTTTTTCTTGTAAAAAACACAAGAAAATACAAGACAGTTGTGATTTATAGTTAACTTCTCATTTTACCCTTATTTTTATTAAAATATTTTATTAGTTATTAATTTTAAAAAAATTTGGTATGAATTTGATTAATCATATAATTTAACCCAAAAACCTTCGTATTAGTGATTGTCTTAAAATTAGGTTTCAAGCCACTAATTTTAAAAAATGTAACATTCAATTGTAATTACATATATTTTTTTTAAATCAATTTAATATAATTAAGGGTAATTTAGATAATTATAAACTACTTCTTATAACTTCATTTTCTTTCAAACAATAAAATTAAATTTTTAAAAAAATTTCCTGCAAATTTTTCATTCTAATTAAATATATGCATAAAAATATTTTTTCTATTATTTTCTTTACATTTATTTCACTTTCTATCATTTTTACTTTTCATCATTTTTTTCTCGGTAATCAAACGGACCTTTAGGAGACCCCAGAGTTGTTTATAGCTCCACTTCTCTCGTAAAAGATTGCATTTAACCTTTCAATTAATGGAAAAGGAGTTGCGACATGGAAAGTTAGTAATAATGATTAAGTTACAACATTTTGAAAATTTTAGTTATAACACTAAAAACTATTAATCAATCAGAAACGATTGTGATCAATAAAAAAAATAATTATTAAAGGTCTAATTAAATTTAATTGAATTTATTTGTGATCGATATTCTTTGTAAAGTGTAACTTGAACATTAACAGTAATATTTTTAATACGATACCAAGAAGTTCTTTAGTATTATAGTGGTTTTGTATATGACGTTTGCCCTAATTGTTTTTTTTTTCTTCGGGTAAATGGTGAGAAGATTTTGTATGAGTTAAACACGAAGTCAAGTAGCGACCACCCAACGAAAAGCTGTCATGTTAAGACACAAGTTGATATTTTTGAAAAAATTATGNTCAAGTAGCGTACACCCAACGAAAAGCTGTCATGTTAAGACACAAGTTGATATTTTTGAAAAAATTATGATAAATTGATGAGTGACGAAAGTATATCAGGTGATGTGTTGAACATACTGAAAATTTCCGTAAATGGTTCAAATTCTACAGAGTAGGGTTCCAGGAAAATTTTGTTTAAATTTTACTTATCTGGTATCTGCCAAACTACGCTATGTACGTCTTCACTCTGGTTCTTGAGATCAGAAATTGTCTTTGGATAAGAAGACAACTAAAAGTGCTTCGTCCTAATAATTGCAAGAATAGATTCTTTTGTTCCAAAGGATATTCTTTCACAGAAGGGTAAAGAGAGTAAAACAAAAACTATAATAACACCAAATAGGAGCACCATTCGTCGGTTCAAAAAGATAACAACAATGTTATATAAATTTAAAAATTAAACTTAAAAATAAGACTTAATAATTGTAATTAATGATTTATTATGAGTTTTAGTATTTATTAAAATTTATTACCTATTTAATGAGTAAATATATATTGGGACTANGAGAATTAATAATTATAATTAATGATTTATTATAAGTTTTAGTATTTATTGAAATTTATTACCTATTTAATGAGTAAATATATATTGGGACTATACTTTCTGTTTTGTCGAGCCCTGCTTTGGTCTCTGGTTTGATGGTTATACGTGCTAAAAATGATTTTATTGTCGAGCCCCGAAGAGGAATATTTAATGACCCGGACATTTTCAGTATGTGTTGAACATACTGAAAAATTTATGGGAGAAAATTACCCATTCAAACAACAAAATTGGAAAAAAAACAAAATGACAAGTGTCAACTTGCCATTGTGTAACGAGTGAACTTATGAATAGATGGAGACCCCGCCTAGCTTGCGTCATTCCAACACCGACACGGAGCTCAGTACCCGATCATTTGCCATAACTTGAAGTCCTATTACACCTAAGCCCAAATTTATATTACCGACTTAAGGTTCATATTTTGTAGTAGTTTTGGACTCGATCCCTCAATCCTATTTTTTGATAGTATGCATTGTATTGTGTAAGGGGTAGAAATCGTTACGGATCTCATCCCTCCACTTGAAGGACCCTTTCTTAAAGCAATCCCACATCGGAAGAGAGTCGTCTTTCCCCCTGCCATATAAGTGAACACTTCTTATGGAGGAGGTACCCACTAGCGATCTGATCAGGTGCCTAGTGGGTACCTCCTCCATAGGAAGTGTTGACTTATATGGCAGGGGAAGACGATTCTCTTTAGTCCTCCAAAATGAGTTATCAGTGGCAACTTTCCTGCAAGCCCAACGATCTAGAATGCTAGCCACTAGTCACACTAGGGCTAGGAAGTATGCCCCCAAAGCCACGAATAACAAGATTCATAAATAAAAGCTAGATTTGGGAAGCTGCAAGGAAGGATTGAACAATCTTTCTATTGGCTCTAGTCGATTTTTACAAGCATCAATCTGCTCCTAACGACGGTGATGATTCCCCTCTGAAAGGTGGCAGCTCCTTATATATTCATATCAATTTATATCATCGACTTTTAAGCTTATCTGTTATCCCATTAGTAAGCAAATATTGATGTACAAGAAAAAGGAGTAGGCAATACACATAAAGTAGTCATCCTTTCTATGTAAAAGGAACTTCCACGTGTTAGCTAAACAAGAGTGCAATTCCAATTATATGAAAAGAAACTAGTTTGATTTATCCTAATGAACAAAAAGATCATACCCCTTACACAAATTTCCTGTCTATAGTTGAGTTTGGAAGATTAGTCCTCATAACTTCATCCTTATTTTAAAGGGACTAATATTTGGACTCAAACCAAGTTTCATCATCACTACGAAAGCAAAGAAAATTGAACTACTTGCTACAAAACAGCTTCTCACAACACAGCGAACACATATTTTATTTGGTCACAATACTTTCTTGTGCTTGAGCAACTATCACCAATGCTACCACCGAATGGGATAGTTAAGTGGGGTACCGATCAAACTTCTTTCTCTAAAGTTAGAGATTCGAGTTTTAGAATTTACATTGGGATTCGGTGGTTGACTGTTATACTAGTATAATTAGGTTTGTTTTAGAGAAGAGTAACGTTCACGGTTAGAGACCTCATAATTCTACCGATTAGAGCCTATCAAAATGGTGTTTAGTCACTCAGACCAACATTTTTCCCGGCCTTATCCCTTCTC